CGCCAGCTTTTCAGGCCCGTCCCAGTAGCTACAGACTGCCACGTATAAGCCCAGGGAAGGGGAGACACAGGCAGAAACTCAACATGACCACAAACAGATGTCAAGAACGTTACGGGTGGAGCTGGCGGGGAGTCTGGGCCCGAGAGGAAGCAGGGATTTCCATGACAGGCTGGCCTGGCTGGGAGCCCCTGGCCCGTAAACCTGGCAGGATGGCGGCAGGATGGCGCGCTCGGGGCACAGAAACTGGATGAGGCTGTAGCTTGGGGTCAGCATGGGTGTGAAGTCTCCTCCTGGCGTGTGAGCGGAGGATGCGGTAGTTGGGGTCCAGGCACATGGAGGAAACGGGGTCCTCCCCAGGGCAGCAGCAGGGTGTGGGTGCCAGTGACCCAGCTTCACTCGCTGACTGTTAATCCCCACCAAGGGAGTGAAGTGACACCCTAAGCTCAATTGCACACAAACAGCCTTGTTTATTTCCCAGCTCCACTTCGTGTGCCTTGGGCCTCCTGCTGAAGTCGAGAAAATGCCGTCTGCGGCACGGGGCCCTGCCCGCCAGCCATCGGCTGAGTCCCGAGCTGGGTCCTAGGCTGTCACCAGCCTGCCAGCCACGTGCCCTCCTGCAGGCCTCCCGGTCACCTGGGCACTCTGCACGCAGGTGCCCACAAATTCTGTCCCTCGCAGCCTGCGTCTGACCCACTGCCCTGACTGCACCTCATGGCCATTTTTTCCCTGCGGTCTCAGCCACCTCCTGGGGGCTCTGTCGGGGGAGTGGGTCCCTCTGGACCCCAGCCCTCCACAGCTGCAGGGGTCTTGGCCTGTCAGGCTCTGCAGGGGAGGAGGTCTGGGGTGCGTGTTGGCCAGGAGCACCAACACTGACACTTTGCTTCCTCTTTACCTGCTCCCTCCAGGGGCACTTTGGGGCCCCCTGGGTTTGCAGGGGTTGAAGGGGGGACAGGTGTCCTCATCATGCCTTTCCTTCCGACATGTTGGTCTGGGCACGGAGGTGCTCCGTGGCTTGTCTGCCACCTGAGAACCTGGAGAAGGCTCCTCCCTTTCTCTGCTTGCTCATACCTCCCCTCCTGGTAGTTGTCAGGACGCAGGATGTTCCTTGGGGTGCCAGGACCCAGGTCCAACACCAAGAGCTCGAGGGGAGTTACTGGGCTGGGGCGGGGAGGCCCCAGGGCTGGCCGATGAGCCCGGCTACAGCAGCAAGGAGCTGGCTGGCCGGCCCTCCCGGCATGCTGAACACAAGCCTCACGCTGAGCGCGGCTCTGTCCCTAGGCAGCTCCCTCAGGGCCGCAGGACTGGTCGCCCGCGAAGCTGCCCCAGGGCTGGCGTCAATCAGGCATGACGCGGATTACGAAGACCCAAGATTTGCCATCCTTTCCTCACTTCTCACTGTTCAGAACCGAGTCACACGACCGGACATACCTTGACCACTGGGAAGGAGAAGAGGTTTATGGGAAAGGTTTCTGGGGCTCCCTGAGCCCCAGGGAGCTGGGCTGGACACCCAAATCAGATCAGAAGGCACATGGGGCGAAAGGAGGCCAAGGAGGCCTGTTCCCCTCAAAGCTCTTTGGTCATGGGAGCAGATGTGGGCATCTGCCTCATAGGGTATCCGGATTCTAGGGAGCCTTCCCAGACACGGGGGGTGGTCTTCACCTCGAGAGTCCCCTGATGACAGCTCTTGGTGCTTGACGGCCCTGCCTATTCGGCCTCAAGTTTCCTGGGCATGGGGGTGGCGGCCACATCAGAGCCCCCACTGCTGGGAGCCCCATTCTGTCCGCAGCAGGGCTGACCTTCCCGGTGGGAAGCACCATTGGGGTTCAGATCTGATTGGGTGAATGAGGCCAGTGGCCTGACCACTCTGCCCCAGTTTCTTTATCTGGAAAATGGGGGTGACGATAGGCATTGACTGCAAACACTGCTGGGGGGCCACAGGAGTTAAGTGTGTGCAAGGTGCTGGCACGAGGGATCTTCCCCGTGGGGCGAGCTGCTGTTTAAAACAGGCCGCCAGTGACCTTCGTTTACAGAAGACACCGAAGTACAGCCTGGACAGGGCCGTCTGTCTGTCCGTTCATCCGTTCATGCCGCGGTTACAGGCCGGCTCTGGGGTGCAGCAGAGAGCACACAGTCACAGGGTCCCGCTTGCGTGGCTCACAGCTCGTGGGGAGACACAGAGTCGAGGGTCCGGAGGGGCAGGCCAGGGCAGGGAGGGCAGAGGGTGCGGCCAGCACCAGGTAGCCTGAGCCTCAGCCCTCAGGGGCCCTCAGACCAGAAGTGTGACAGACACCACCCCAGGACTGAGGGCAAGAGACGCTGTGGTCTGGGGTGCTCAGTGAGGAGTGTGAAAAGCCAGGGCCAGGAGGGGGTGAGCCTGTTTTTGACCAGAACCAAATATGGGGAGATGCGGAACCCCCAGGTTAAGCTCCCTGCTCCGAGTCGGGTGGAGGCCCGCGAATGCCCTGCACTGTGGGGTG